TTTTTTTTTTTTTTTTTTTTTTTTTCATTTCGTAAGCGAACGATACGCCCTGTTTTGTTCCAGGCACAAAGAGGTCGAGAATCTCTGAGAGCACTACGGGAACAATGCTTTCCACGAGCGACACCGGTAACGAAGACGACCGTGACTCCGACTCTGGTGGAGAACTTCTTACTGACCGTTCATTGGGTAAGGTTCCGTACATCTCACGAATATAGATTAATCCGTGACAAAAAATTGAGGCTAAGATTGTAGATTTTTATTATTACATAAAATAAGTTGGGATAAAAATTAAAAATCAATTTTATTAAATGTAATTTGCAAGAATATAACTTTACTCGTGTAATGAAAGTTTTAATTTAAATTATTACTTTCTATGCCTTGTGTGATATGATTTATTAAACATTATATATTTTTTTCATCGTATCATTAAAAACAGAAATCAAAGAATTAAAAATTATTTTGTTAAGCAAAAATTTTATTATTAATAAATCATATTATAATCAAATCATATGAAAATTCTATAAAATAGTTAAATAGATAATTCTTGTGTGCAATAGCAATTCCAACGTCAATTGGAATAACGGAGAACGATACAACGCGGAAACGATCAAACAGCCTGAACGATTCTGAGGATGGAAGTCCGGAACCAGGCTCCCAGAGCCCGACGCATACACCTCCATTAACGCCAGCATTGACACCGCAAAGAGAGGATACGCCAGCGCCAGAAAATCTCAGCCTTCGCAAAAGCGGAAGTCCTCAGCAAACGCAACAGACGCTTCAACCGGTGGACTTGGTACAGCCTAGACCTAGCCCTCCACTACCTTCGTTGGCGGTTAGCTTTTTATTTTATTCTTTTGACGAATCAATGTCTATACGTAGGATTTCAAATATTTGATGTACTGAAACATGATATGCCAGTAAACTCATATTCATAATATTAACATAATTTTAAACGTTATATTTAAATAACATGTTCTATGTATCATAACTAAAGTCATTGCAAAAATAAGAAATATATTTGCATATGAAAATTCTTAGTAATTAGTCATATCAATCTATTGTCTAAAAATTTTATTTATTTCTATGTCAATGTATGGTATGAATGCTAATGATTGATAAGAAAAAAAAGACAGAAAGAAAGGAAAATCTCAATTTTTGTCTGAAATTTCCATTTCAATACAATCAGCTAATAATCTGTTCAAACTAATCTCTATTTTAATCAATGTAGTTTTATCAAGTGATATAATCAAAGTAATTTTGCTCTATACAAAAATTAAAAGTTAAAATAAAATAAATACAAGAAATATAAATGATTATAATACTTTTTCCAGGCCGCAGCGACCGCGGTACATTTTCCACCTTATGCTCCCCTATATGGTCCAGCAGCGAGTTCGCTTTATTGTTCTCCAGCATTATACCAGCATCAACATCATCATCACATGCCAGAGCCCCGTGAGATTCAAATGCAGATGCAGATGCAAAATATTCAGCAGACTTGCGGCCTTCAATTGCAGCAGCAACAACAGCAA